ATATATACTTGCATATACACCATATTTGTAGTCATTTGAACTGCGCGCCGAATTGTTTTTCCGTATATAAAAGTAATTAAACTACTGTAATAATATCACAAATTAAATTAAATTAAATTGATAAGCAATTTTTAATAATTCGATGCTCAATCCGGCATCATATTAGAAAGATGTTAATTTGCTGAAAAATCTTAAATATATTTATTGCGAAAAATATTATCTCGGCCGGGAGTTAAATTTGGATCTCTTGCATTCCGTAAGAGCGTCTTAAGCCTTTAGACTACCAAGGTCTTAATAATATTCTTCGCATCAATATATGTATGGAAATCTTTTTCAGGCGATGTAATATAAACAAAATTTAAATAATGAATAAATTATAAATATAGAGATTATTAAATAAAATATAATATAAAATATCATAATATAATTTAAATTAGAATTTAATATATAATTTAAAATATAATTACTTATATTAATAATGATTAATAAATCGTAAATTTGATAGAAATACATTCTCATACCAGAACACATTTTTAATCATATTTAGTTGAAAATTAAAATAGTTAAGATTTTTACACTTTTAAAAATCACTACACATTTTCTTTGTTAATTGTTAAACAATTTTCACTCATCTCTCTTAGGCTCAGTTTTTTATTTCCAGCAGAGCTATGAACATTTTTTCCTTATGTATAGCAAGATCCTCTCTCCCCCTTAGAAAAAATCCTATAGACAATAATGTCGTCACACAGCTTTTTTATTATGAAAAAGTCCGCAGAATTTTTTCTAGGGGGGGAGAGGATCTTGCTACAGTAAGGAAAGAATGTCCAAATATTTCCTTCTATGTGACCCTATAATCTCTACAATATCGAGTTGATAATTGATCTTTTTTTTTCGTCATTGTTCACCACCAATGTGTATACTTTTTAGTTAAAAGTTTCCTCACTATGATACGGTAGATGTACGTTCAGGAAGGTATTTCGTTTGTTTAGGTTTTTTTGTATTTAAAAATTTTTTTGTCATTTTTATTTTTTAGTACTTTTTTTATTCCATTAATTTTTTCACTTTCCTCAATAAACAAAAAACCTAATTTCCTCGTCCTGCTTAAATTTGTTTATCACGACTAATTACTCTAAAACGCACTTTTATTCAACACGCGTCTCTCGACCATGTGTTAGTGGGGGCGGCAAAGGTCCCTCTTGTCTCCCCCTTCTCCCCCTTCCTCTGAACGCCCATGTGCTGGTTAACTTTTGATCAAATTTTTTTTGCTACGATTAATCACTAAACTGATGGTTTTATAGTAACTTGTAAAGTTACTTATCTCATTAAATCACTACGAAACCAGTTTAGTGATTAATCGTAATTAGAAAAACACAAATTTTACTTTATCATTAAGTTAAGTGACGTTAGGTCTAATCCACAAGTTAACCAGGTGTTATTGTTATTTCCTTATTTCTTAATGGTTAAAGAAAAAAATAAAATTCGATTTGATTCGGCATAAAAAAAAATCTTGATTTGTTTATCTCTATTTGATGACATTAAATGAAGATAAAGTCTAGCAATACATTAACGATAATAAAGGATCGCTTTTATTTAAACAATTCTGACGCTTATTATTTCTTGTTACTCCTTGTACAGTTTAACATATAGTTGTTGAATAATGTAACAAAATTTGTACTTAAACACGACGCTCGTGACTTTGCAGGCGTTCAAAGAACCGTGCATGTGCTGCACAATTCGGAGCAGCCAGCCTCAGTGTTCGCCCTCCTCGAGTCGGGCAGCAAAGTGGTACCACTGATAGCGGACGGCTTGTTCGATCTGCTGATGATGAAAATGACGACTATCTACACCAGTAAGAAGCAAACGAAGATTGAATCCAAAGGGCCACGATTCGAGATTGGCGACTTCTGCGTCAAATTGGGCAGCGTGACGATGAGCCAAAATTTCAAAGGTGTCTTGGTAGAAGTGAGTGACACTTCATATTTCTTTTCAAAAAGAGAAGAAACTTTCTAAAAATGACATCGAAACATTATCGATCCAACTGTCCTCCTTTGATCCTCGATTTCTAGCTCTTTAAAGTGATATTTTTCATTTCAATTCTCTGCTGGATCATCGTTTTGATATTTTTAATTCGGTCTTGATTTCCTCATAAAAATTTACACTAAAATCTGTTTTATCTCCACATAGAAAGCTCGGAATATCGCTTTTCGCTCTCGATTGTCATTTTGCTTTCACTCTTTGATCGTTCGGAAAACGAGGATAAGTTGTTCTCTGTCATTCAAATCTGGAAATGAACAACGTCGATTTTCTGATCCGAATCCGTAACAAATTCTTTGGGGAGAGACATTTTGAGACGAGTCCCCTGCTACTTCCGTTGTCTTCTCTGTCATTCACGCGACGAGCGTGCATTATCGATTGATAACTCGGTCACGAGAGTTCCACCCGCGTAAATCGTGTATGTACATGTGCTAGTTATACAATAGGTACATTTTAGAAGCGGAACATGGGAACACCACGCACCCTTTGATGTCCTCATCGCGCCGCATGGCGAATACGTGTCTCGCGTGTCAAACTCGGGACGCCTGAGATATTTCATGCCATCGGCGTACCACTGCTGATCAAGAGAACAGAGAAATAATCGAGTAATTAAGTCCGGATGCTAACAATAAATCGTCCTATTGATGCTATATCAATCTTACGACTTTATGCGTACTGTCTCATATAGTAAGGGAGTAGACGTAGAAATCATAGGAAAAAAGTATCAGTCTTTAAAAGTTTTAAATATTTAAAAAAAAAGTGAGAGAGAGAGAGAGAAGGAATTAAAAAGTGAATATTTTAGTCATTTTCATAAATTTTTACAAATTCTTATTTCAACATAAAATAATTTTTTACTTTTTCTTTCAAATCTATACCTAACTAAATTTGTAGATATTTTAACAAAATTGTTCTTTTGGTGTAGATAAATTTGAAAACTAATTGTCATTAAAGCTTTTTCTTGTTTTTAATTGCGTCTTGTTTTTCTTGTTTTTAATTTTCTTGTTTATAATTAATATGCTGGTAAAATGAAATAATGATGCTTCACACGCATAATTAATTAACGAATGGGATTAGGTTGTATATATATAATAATGTCGGATCAAAGATCATTTTTATGCGGATTGAAGCAAGGTTGCAGAAGATTTCGGCATGCATTAGCGTGCAACGTATCTCACATACACATACGAACGCGTTATCGGATGCCATTCGGATGCACTTGTCGCGTAGTTATCTGTAAACATGCAAGATACATACGTGCATATCGAACGTCATTATGAATTGTATTCGCTTTACCGATACCCTGAGGCTTGTCGAGCACCAATGTACGTTTAACATGGAATTACAATCTCGTATGCTTTAAAATTAAATCGTTTTTGTATTTGCTTTGTCCATTAATACTTGTTAACAATTTAATCGGCTTGCGAATTATTAATTCGCGAGATCGAACGAGTTTTACTCGTTACTCTAAATAGCTTAATACGTTAACTTCCTCGCATAAATCGCGGTTGAACAAAAAAAAAAGTGCTGAAAAAAATATTAAATTTTAATAAATATTAGTTCTAAATAAATATTTACTAAATGTAAACATATTTATTTAATACAAAAATTATTAATTTAACTAGTATTTTTTTTAAATATATAATTATAACAAACGTGGTTTTTTTATCATAAAATTAACAAAAAGAAGAGCATAAAACCACAACACAAGTTATTTATTGTGATATTTAATATATAATTAAGTTTATAAATGATTTTAGACGTTTCGGTCATAATCTGGCCATCTTCAATAAATTTACAAATATCAATAAAAACGGAATTTACATAAATTTAATATTAAAATTCAACAAAGTTATATATTAAAATATTATTTTTTTTATTGAGTTAATATTTATTTACTGTAAATAAATGGTTACTTAGTACCAGATATTATTTAAAGAAATATATGTATTATTAAGATTTAGTAAATTTGTTTTCAGTATATAAGTAGTTGAATAAATAAAATATTCCTGCGGATCGCATTTCTTCACTCCAAGAAGTAGGCGCAACAGACAATGCGCGGACATCACTTCCAAGCCTTACTTTCATGAAAGAAATCTCGAGTTGTTTCCTTCCCTTTTTTCGCATCGACGATCTTCACCCAGACTTCGCAGCGTTACCTCGACGATGCGCCTTCCTGTATATCTTCCGCAGTCGCCCTTTCCCCTTCGACAGATTCACCCGGCTGTGCAGCGGCACGTACATTGCACGCTCGCATGTGTACCCTGTACACACATCCAGCGCGACACCGGCTTTAAATGCTCCAGCAGCAGCCATTCGTATCGGTAACTGCGCCGTTTGTACAGCGACCGCGACGTCAAATACGTCACGATAACCCCCGACTCCCCCCATTAATTTCAATGGTGAAACTCCCCCGCGCGCGCGAAAGAGAGAGAGAGAGAGAGAGAGAGACTCATGTTAAATCTTCGGTCCCTCGTTCTGCTTCCCTCGTCGACCCCCGAACGAACACTTTTCTCCCGGACGGCTTCCTGCCCCAGCAACGGCGAACGCTTCCTTCCTTCCGCCCTCTTATTCGCCTCTGCGACTCCCGCACTTGACTGCAATCACTTATCAGCGCGTTGAACATACATCGCAAACACTCATGACCCAGAAAAAATTTTTCATTCACAGTACAAAACATTTTGTATTTATGTTGAAATTGATCCACTTAAAATTTTGAATTTTAATATAATTGATTATATTATTTAAACTTTTTGTATTAAATTGATATTCATAAATTTAAAAAAAAATAACAATTTATAAACTAGTAAACAAATAATATAAAAATAATGTTTTAATAGGTAAATTCTGAGATAAATGAATAAAATTTTTGTTAATTTAACATATAAATATTAATTTTATTCAAAAAATATGTTTCCACAATTTGTTCACACTGAAAAAAATATTAAACTTTAATAAATATTTGTTTAAATAGTTCTAAATAAATATTTACTGAATGTAAACACATATATTTATTTGATACAAAAATCATTAATTTGATTTAACTTTATCATTTTTTTACTGTAAGTAAATAAATAGATATATTTATTCAATAAAAAGTAAACGTTTTCTTAGTACTATTTAAAGAAGTTTGTACTAAGATTTAGTAATTTTTTTTCAGTACAAATTGTTTCATTTTTTGTTACATTTGTATTAATATTTTTACATATATATTTATATTACTATATATATTTATGTTACTTTCTAATTCGTGTTTCGTATTAAATTAAGGCAAAAATTTGAGTGGATCGTTTGGAACACGTGGAATATGTTAAATTTAACACAAATTTTTCAACTCGCCGTTTTTTAGCACACGGAGCGAACTGGGTTACATAACTCGGAGCAAACTGGGTGACAAACGCATCCCCAATTCGATTCGCGCTTTCTCGGATTCGCAATCGCGATTTATTGTTTGAATCGAAATTTACCCTGCTACCGTTGAATGTGGTGGCTCGGTCCGGAATAATGTCATCTCGTCCATGATTTCAAATCGCTATGCGGCCATGCATGGTCGAGTTGCTGGCGAATTCCGCAGATTTTCGTTTAATTGGCGTCTCTGGGTCCAGAATAATCTCGGGAATTTCAAGTTTCACCTGAGAAACTTCATCTGATAAATGAATCAGCTGTGACGTAATTAAAATAAAAGAAATTAAATGTATATATCATATTGTATATATCAAACCTTTTATTTTATTATTAATTTATTTCTGAAAAGTCTTGCGCAGCCAATCGTGTAAATATTCTCCACGTTTACTATCTTGTATTATAGATCAATAATACGTTTCTCCTACAAAAAATGATTATGAAGAATAACGGTCGCGCGAAAAGTTTATCGTCTGAACAAATTCGTGAAATTGGATTTTAAAATTATTGAGCAAATTTTTATAAGTCTAAGAATAACTGTTGCCGCCACTCTCTTTCTCCCTTTCGGTGAATCTTCGCGTTTCTCATTTTTCCAACTTCGTTTCGCGTTTATCGAATTGTCGACCGAAGTACCAATTTCCAGCGATATTAACTTTTAGCCGAGCTTCCTTAACATAGTCGAAGTTATAAGGCTTGCGGAATGGAAGGAGAGAAATGGAGAGAGAATTGAAAATAGGATGAGAAACCAACATCCTCACATCAATATTGCCGTATATATTCCCGTTCAATCCTGACACATCCAGATTCTCGTCAAGTTTTCCGAATGGCCGATAGTATTCAACGACGTGCGTAACTGAATTTTTGACATTTTTAGAGATTGACTTTTCTGTCCAAAGAGGACTCCGCGTCACGCCGCAAATTGTTTATTCGAAGACAACACAACGGGGATTGAGTCCATCTCTACTTATTTATGCATTGAAAGAAATTTTTTGTATGATATATAACTTACAAAAACTTTCTTACTTGTTAAGTAAAAAATTTTGTTTTGCTCAAAATTTTTAAATTAAAAAATAATATTTTTTAAAATAAAAAAAAATAAAAATAAAAATAATATTTTTATGAGTTAAACATTTTGTTGTTCTAAATTTGATTATTCTAACTAAATTTTCATTTGAGAAGACAACAAAATTTTTTTAATTAAAAAGTAAGAAAGTTTTTGTGAATCACATATCATACAAAACATTTATCTCAGTATGCTTATGGATATTCCATACGATGGTTTCAAGCGGATTATCATAAGCGCCCATCCGTTTTCCATCGCTGCCCGTTGAAGTTCGTCGCGCAAGCTCCTGATTATACATTCTGTTTCCTCCCACGATTCCTTCGCGACATCATTAACGCACACATATACATTGTAAGCCGGATTACGCGAGAGACATACGAGGTCCATATCGCGGACATTTCGTCTTCAGATCGTAAAATCCAGCCGCGGCCGCTCGCGACTTATTATGAATCGCACAAGCACTGTCATCGTTAAGTCGCCTCGATAAGTACTAACGATATCGCGTTGATTTGACATACATCATGATCTGATGGTACTCGACTAGGTATAATCCTGTGATATATACATTTTTTTCATTTGTGAATCCCCAGGTCGAGTACAGACCTTGTGTCGTGCCAGCGAGCGCGTGGGAACTCATTCGTGAATTTCTGCAGGGATTCTTGGGTTCAACTGTATCTAATCAAGCTCCTCAATATTTACAGGTGAATATTTAGTATTAGAAAAATGTGTCTTTGTGCATGAAAAGAAAGATTTGTTAAATCTAAAAATTTAATTAAAAACTTGAAAATAATTATAAGACGCATAATTGATAGGACGCACAAATTGGTTGTTAGAATGTCAAAATTTGTTGCAGCGTTGCTTATCATGGTTGAGATTCCTACTCTCTAAATTCTTTAGAATTTCACTCTAAAGAATGGAATCTCACTTTAAAGAGTGAAAATTGAGACAGTCTTGAAAAAACTGTTTTTGCATTTTCAATTTTTAAGCATTTCACTCTTCGGAATTCACTCAAAAAATTTTAGAGAGTATATAATTATTTTGGTCTAATAAAATTAATAATCTAATT